AGATTAACATTCTTTAAATATTTAATTTATGTTGTACATAACATATATTTACTATCTTGTAGTTTAACCTAATTACCAACATCCATACATTTCAATTAAGCCATAAGTTATGCATAAATATACTTAACAAGAAAATACATTAAAATTTAGAAACATTAAAGTTATGCATAAATAGTCTGCATCATATTGTTCACTAGAATATATTTAGTTATGCTCCTTCGTGGGGGAAGGACGTAGGAAAGTTGTTTTCCTTGTTTGACGACGCATCGTTAAGTTTTTCCTCCATGTAAACTCTATATGGAGAAATTGTTCATCCATTTCACCAAATAAATCCCCTACCTCCGGTTCACCAAGAAGACTCTTTGCGCGCTTCAGTGCTTCACTTGAAACAGATAACGAACTTATACCTACACTATGAAACTTGATTGGAGGTGGCTTGGGAAATGAATCAAACATTAAAATAAATTTAAATAGATGATATAAATGTTTACTTGGAGTAACAGTAGATGAAACATCGTCTTCATTGAGGATAGATACTGCTTTTGCAATTGAAGATTCTTTCAACACCACAGAGTTACCAAATTCGGTTCTAAACATCGGGTATTTATCCACTCCTCTATCACCGTTATCAATAAGCTTCGAAGATCCTATATGCGTACAATCTATGAAATTTTAGTGACCATAGAAAAATAGTATATAGCGGCTTAAAGATTTATAGATTATTACCTTCAAGTAGGAGATCGACCATGGAAGGGGTATGGAGCAATAGAAGTTCCTTTCGGGTCATCATTGAGTTTCGACGGTGAAACTGGACCGATAGCCTCCCAACAATAATTTGATCCATCATCAGAGCAAAGACGCCACGTAGACATTCCTACGATAATTTCTCTTACTCAAGGCAACACCTGCTCTTTTTTTTCTAATACGTTAACTTTCTGGGATTTCCCCATTTTCAGAATACCCACAAAAACAAAAATGAAAAATATCATTAATTTAAGAGGGATCAAACCGTGCAATTGTGTTATAGTTCGTCGATCAGAGGGCCGATTTGGTCGCCGGGACATTCAAAAGACGACGACGCTTGGAATCGTGCTCAGCCTATTGTTGTACCAGAGAAAAAGGTTTGAGGGAAGAAGAGTTGAAATGATTTTAGGGTTTAGGTAAGAGAAAAAGAGTACCATATATTTAACATTTTACAACGTTTTAAAAAAAGCGCCACTATATCACATACTTTTACGGCGTTTATAAAAAAGCCACTATTGATTAATATTATTATGGCGTTTATCTAAAAATGACGTGAAAGGATTAATTATTGCGGCGTTTGAGGTATAAATGCCGCAAAATTTCTTCTCTATTGCGGCGTTTGTTGTTAAAACACCACTATATGTTCACTATATTACTGCGTTTGTACATAAAACGCCACTAAAACAACCATATTACGGAGTTTATCAAAAAACACCGCACCATTAATACTCAATAGAGGCGTTTGTATAAAAACACTGCTAAATGTCTACTCTTTTACAGCGTTTGTTGATAAAACACCACTATAAATAACTCTATACCGGTGTTTGTGCCATATGTTAGAATGATGAGTCAACAACAATATTGTTTATGCTTAGTTTGCATGGTGATGTTAGTTAAGTAGTTAACAGCATTCTTATCATGGTATCATTCGCCGAAGATCCTGACGCCGTTGTTTCTGTCACAATTATCATCTCCACCGTTTTCTTCATCCGCGATTTTCATTGTTTCTTTTGCTACTCGTCGTCTCTAATTTAATGTAGTCTTTCTTATACTGTTTCTGTTCCGTTCTTTTATTGGGTTCCTCAGTCACAACAAGGTTTTCTCCGATGCCTCCTTCACCAAATCATGCATCCTCAACCATAACGAATTTCGTCATCGCTCTTTTCATTCGCTGATTGACTTCCTTTTTCCTTGACAATTGGTTATTTGCTGGAAGTAGCTTGACATCCTTATGGTTCAGACTCTTTCTTACATTTCTATGGTCTAGCATGCACGAATTGCATTGATGATCAGAAAACACCAGATCTTATATTCTTTGTTTCATGAAACTATTGTTGCTTGCTTTCTACTGGAATTGTTGTCTCTTCAGGATTTCTCGCTCTTAAAGGGGTTAAGGTTAGTCTCTGTTGAATCGATTGTTAGCAGAAAAGGGAGGATTGATTGTCACCGATACCTTTTTTTGCAGTGTTGAGATTTCTGCTCATGTGAATTGTTAAATAACACATCTTACGTTTTTTTGGGTTGATCTTTAGTGTTGCATTGGATATTATAGTTACTTCAATGTTTGGAATCTAGTGATAGTTTTTTGTTGTTCTTGGCACTGGTTTTGTTGGTTTATCTTCATTTTCTGGAAAATTCTATGGAATTGTAGTTCACTGATTGTTAGTGGCTTGTTTCTGGAAGCTGTGATAGAGTGGGCTTGTAAACTGTTGCTAAATGCTGGAATGGATACTATGTCATTGCATTGCTCGCTCAATTGTTGACAATTTGTATTCTTCGTTATATGCTGCTTCTTCTCCAAGGTAATTGGAACTTGAAGCTTAACAACCAAGTGTCCATATTATAAAATATCTGGGGAGAGTCAAGAGTTTAACAACCTTGTTCTCCTTACTGGAAAATTCTATGGAATTGTAGTTCACTGATTGAGTGGCTTGTTTCTGGAAGCTGTGATAGAGTGGGCTTGTAAACTGTGCTAAATGCTGGAATGGATACTAGTCATTGCATTGCGCTCAATTGTTGACAATTTGTATTCTTCGTTATATGCTGCTTCTTCTCCAAGGTAATTGGAACTTGAAGCTTAACAACCAAGTGTCCATATTATAAAATATCTGGGGAGAGTCAAGAGTTTAACAACCTTGTTCTCCTTAACCAGACAAAATAGATGTTTTCTTTCCCAAGAGAGGCTTCAGATTACATCTGGGAGCTCGAAGCTTAACGACTTACTTCCACCAAAAATAAGGTTCGAATAAGTGAAGGAGAATGACAGTGAAAGTGAAGAAAAGAAGGGAAAAGTCATGAAGAAAAAAAAGTTGATGCATGTTGTCGATTGATTTGGTTTAAGCTAGTATTGTTGTTGAATTGTGAACACTTTTACTATAGATTTAGGTTGCTTGATTACCTTCAGTTTGCATTTCTTTGTTACATGTTTGATTCTCTCACAAGGTGATCATGAAACTTTGAGGCTTAACAACCAAGTTTACTTGGAAAGAAAATTATATGGGGGATGATTAAGTGTTTAACGACCTTGTCCTCCTTAACCAGACAAAATATGTTGTTTTCTTGCCCAAGAGAGGCTTCAGATTACACCCAGATGCTCGTAGCTTAACCGCCTTGCTTCCAACAAAAAGAAAGTTTGAATAAGTGAGGAAGGACAGAAAAACAAAAGAAGAAGTAGAGGGAATGTTAGAATGATGAGTCAACAACAATGCTGCTTGTGCTTAGTTTGCATGGTAATGTTAGTTAAGTAGTTAGCAGCTTCTTGAAGTTGATAGTAGCAGTTAAGGTTGTTAACATCAGTTGTAAAAACTGTTAGGCTTATAATAGTCATTAGAAGCTGTATATAAACAGGTGAAGTCTTGTAATCCATGTGCAGTTTTGTAATGATCAATATACTATTATTCTTCTTTCTTTGATGCATTCTTATCAACATAAATGCCGCTAAATTACCACTCTATTGCGGCGTTTTTTGGAAAAACGCCTCTATATTATCATTTAACGGTGTTTTAATTATAAATGTCGCTATATTTCAAAATATTATTGCATTTACTCTCCAAACGCCGCTATAAAACACTTTTGCTGGAGTGAATGAGAGGTTCGCTTGTATAGAGGATCGCATAGATTAAAAATAATGAAAAGATCAAGATTGACATTGTCGTTGCTGTATAGGTTGTTGACTTAATATATAGGTTATATTGCTAGACAATAAGGGGGTTTTGGTTCATGGATTTTGGGATTCTCATGGGATGAGAATCTCACATTCTCATGTTTGGTTGGCCGGGAATCTCATTCCCGGTAATGTTTTATTACCAATAATAGATTTTTTGGGGTATATTACCAGGAATGTCATTACCTCCATTCCCTTAGGTATTGTAACATTACCGATGTTTTGGACTAAAATGCCCTTAAATTTTTATATTTTTTCAAAAATATCATTCTTCTGTCATTGAATAATAAAAATTCTACGAAGGTTAAATTACAAATTTATCCTTAAATTATTTTAGATTTACAAAAAAAGTATATAATTAAAATTTTATATGAATTTCAGGGGTTAAAAAAATTTACTCTTTCATTAAACATTTTTTATATTTTAATGTTGTAAAAAAAATTATATAAATATTATGAATTTAATTTTTTAAAGAAAATATATAAATATTTTACAATTTGTAATATTATACAAATATATAATAAGGATAATTTGATCAAATATACATTCCAATAATCTTTTATTCATTTAACCAAACACGGTAATCTTACATTCCTGCTAAACCAACCAAACACAAAATACAACATTCTAAGTAATCATATTCCTTGATAATCTTTTATTCTCACTGGTAATCTTTTATTCCAACTGATAATTTTTACATTCCGTGAACCAAACGCACCATAAGTTCACTTTGTATTTACGAGTAATTTGAGGCCACTTGCTCATATAAGCTCACGAGAATTAAAGGCGTCAGTTACGCCTTGGTATTACTTTAATAAACCTCAGTAGAGAAAGAAAGAGACCAATTCCTCCGATTATTTCCGTACAGGTTACCGCTTCTACCGGGCATCCATCCCCAATATTTAACCCCCACATTCCCCTCCCTCAAGATTTCAGCCCTCCAGTTTTACTTAATAAAATTCAACACATCTGGTGGGTCCCAATTTAACCTGCTACCTTCTCTGTCTGAATATAATATATATATTGTTAGAGAAGAAGATACATGATCTTTTGGACATAAAAGAGATAACAAGGCAATAAAGCAAGAGCAGCCATGGAGGAATTGTTGGGTCTACTGAGGATTCACGTAAACCGGGGCGTAAACCTCGCTGTTCGCAATGTCCGTACCAGCGATCCTTACATCATCTTTGGAATGGGCAATCAGGTTTTAAAGATGAACTTCAGCCTTAGAGGGACGGCAAAATTTTTTATGTCCAACCCTTTTACTGTAGTTACGTTTGGTCGTTGTTCTAATCCTATATTTCTTGCAGTCACTGAAGACTGAAGTAATAGATAGGGATGTTAATCCGGTTTGGGACGAAGACTTAACTCTTTCCATTAGAGACCTTGAAATGCCAATCCAACTTGTAAGTCTTTTACTTATCCGTTCCTTTATACAATCATTTTTAAAGTTTTTTTTTGTTTTTTTTATTGCAGACTGTGTATGACTGTGACAGATTTAGCAGGTAAAATTTTCGAGATAATGTTCTTGAATTTTTTATTTAACGATATAACGTACTCCCAAGATTAATTGCTCAAATAGGGCAAATTGCACTGTGTTGGCCGTAGGTCGCCATGCCTTCCGGGCGACTTACGGCGTGGCAGCTTCCCAGCATAGGTCGCCATGCACTCCGGGCGACCTTGTAGGTCGCCATGCACTCCTTCTGCTCCTCGCGTGATTCCTCTTGCCTTCGGATGCCCTCGCATAGCTCGCTCGAATGGCCTCGGTCGGATGGCTTCGGATGCTCAACGTGTTGGAACGTGCATGACACATGCAATCTCTCTCATAGCTCGCCGGGAAGACATGGCGACCTAGTAGATCGCCCGGATGGCATGGCGACCTACGACCAACACTGTAGATTTCACCCTATTTGAGCAATTAATCTGAGGAGTGCATTATCTCGTGAATTAATTTATTCGAGAACGTTATCTCGAGAGTTTAGCCGATTTAACATGGATGACGAAATGGGTGATGCGGAGTTCGACATCAATACCTTCATAGAAGACTTGAGAATGGATTACACAGACTTTCCGGATGGAACCATATTAGCAAAACAACAACCGAGCAGGCAAAACTGCTTGGCCGAAGCCAGCACTGTGATTTTGAGGGAAGGGAAGGATCTTCAGACCTTTGCCTCAGATTGAGAAATATGGAGACCGGTGAAGTGGAACTTCAACTCGAGTGGATTGATCTCCCTGGTTGTAAAGGTCTTCGTGGTTAACTTCATCAATGTTCTTCTTTCATTTTCCTATCCTATATATGTTCTGCGGCCAGTTATTCCAGTGATGAGCAGTGGTTCATATGTAGGATTCAACAAGTCTTAGCTTATCCTGCCATGCCAATGGTTTTGGATACCAAATAAAGCATGTACAATGTAATTTTTTACTCCAGATGCCATCTCTGGTAAACAGTTCTCTCTATACATCGTATATTCATTTTCCCCATCATCTGATTCAAGGTGGTCGAGCTTTTTCTGAAAGCGAAAAACAAATGAAAAGCTTCTCAGCTTTAGGCAACATATAAACCTCCAAATTGCGGACGCTAGAAACAAGCTTAACAGACACCAAACCCTCGCATTGCAAATGGATTTGCAAGATGACACAAAAGTCTTCATACTTGATGGAGCACAAGAAGGATTAGGAAACCAGTGGAAAGTGTTTTTGCAATTGGTCTCTACTAACAAAGAAGTCTATGCCAATGTTGCATGGGTACTGCAACCCAATTCCGTTTTCAAGCACTCAATATACGAAATGAGTACGAGACAAATATGAATTGAGTACGTGCTGGAGATGTCTCATGGTGAAGGGGTACGACTAAAATTAATTAGGTTTAACTAGATACAACAAAGAGATTTTTAGAGATGAATCGAGAACGACATTTGATCTTCACGTGTGTTATCAAGGGTTAATTTTTAGATTTAACTTAAAAATGATAATAAAAATTAGATGATTTTGAATAAAAAATTAAAGTTGATTTTGAAATATCAACTGACTTACAAAGAATTTTAGGATGAGATCAGGATATATTTAGGTTGAGATGTCTTTTTATGTATGTATCGTCTTTCAGTTACATTTCTAACACATTTTGAAACATCTCAATCGGACGTCGAAAACTTAAGATATATATGTTTTAATAAAGATATAATGCAAATAGAGAACTAGATACGGATCTAATACATAATTTTATAATAATTACAAATTTTAAAATTTATTTATATTTATCGTAACCTTACCGTGTCATATAATTTTGGAAATTTTCGTTTTATGTCCCGTATCAGTGCAACATACGTCTCTACAACTCATCTAGAAGAAAGAAAAAGGAAAAATGAGGCAAGATTCCTTAATCACAAGCACTTCAGCTGAAGCGGGATAATGATACCCCCATTGATTTCAAAAAGCTAATTAAAACCATTCTGAGATGGTCCCTAAGGATGCCACCAATAGCAACAGGGCTCACCGAAACATGAACAACAACATCCATATTGAATATCTTTGAGCGGACTGATAATGTTGTTCTGAATTCTTGATTTACTATTTAACCTTAAATCGGTTGATACCAAATTATTTTTTGATTTCTTTTATAAATATATTTGTTTCAGGTCAGATCGAGTTCGAGTTTTATTTTAAAAGATGGATAGAATATCGGGTCGGGTGAAGTCATCCTAAACTTGGGTCAAGCCAGATTTCGGGTGGAAGATGTATATTTTTCTAGTTGGACCAAAATTGACCGAAAACCCGACTTAACCCGACCCATACCCATCTCTATCTACAAGACATTTATGAATCTTTTCAATAATAAGCTCATAAAACATAATTAAGTGGTTAGTGGATTGATTATGAGACAAATTTAGGCCATAAGACCCAAGCAACATGCCACTAAACAAGCCAATTGAGGAAGTTTAGACAACAACATGCTAAGATCCTCGGCAATGACATTGAAGAGAAGAAGTGGGAGTGGGCATCGTTGACGAAGGCCCCTTTTTATGTTGAACATGTTTAAGGGCAACCCATTGATCAGAACTGAAATGGAGGCTGAACTAACACAACAATGAATTTAGTGTCTCCATTTCTCGTCAAAGGTCATCTTTTTAAGGATAAAATTGAGAAAAAGTCCCAATCGACCGAATCAGTCCTTATTAAAACTAATTTTTATTATGATTTCCGAGAGAGCTTTTCTTCTTAGTTAATCCACCACTTTGTTAGCAATGAGGAAACAATCCAAAATTTGCTTCCCCGAAATCAAGGCAAATTGACATGCCAGTTCTGATATTTAATTTTCCAAGAATTGGATGGAATCTTCTTTAACCAAGCTAAGGACTACCAAACATTTTTTTTATTGAAGCTTTAATAATGCCAATTCTTTTCACCTTAGCTCCACCAACATCATTTTTGATACCTTGAGTAGTCTTCCAAGTATGACCAAAAGTCAAGCCATTTAAATGGGTGAGGTCCTCGATTAATCGAACTATGCTCGATAACGTAAATACCTATTTAAATCTTTAAATTTTGATTTATTTTGATTGTCTCACTATTTTTTATTGTTAATTACACTTTATCCCCTTTAAATTGATATTCTGACTCCATCCCTAAGAATTATTAGGTTGTGATCCGAAAAAGACTTGTTTAGAACTTTCTGAAAAATGCAAGGAAATTGAAGAATAACCTCAGGTGATAAAAAACAATTAAGTCAACAAAATGTAGCCTCTTCTATTCAATTACAACGCGTAAAAGTTCCTCCCGTAAGAGGGGATCCACAAACCCTAGCTGATCGATAAATTCAGAGAATTTATGCATAGCTGAAATGTTGAAATCAAAACCCTTTTTTCCTCAATAAATCTCACATTGTTGAAGTCCCCAAGAAACCTTATAACCACTCAGGTAAGAATATAACTCCTCGAAAGAAGACTCCTACGTTCATTTTGATCATTCAGAGCATAAACGTATTCAGCTCAATCAGCATGTTAACGCCCAGCTCATACTATTGTCAATTTTTTTAATGAAAAAGGATGAGTTTGGAACATATGAATAGTCGGGTGACCATTATGTAACTTTTAACAGTAGAGGGACTCAACAAAGCAACACCATATAGTCAGAGGACCATTTTATAAATTCTAATAGTTGGAGACTCAACAAAGCAACATCATATAGTTGAGAGACCATTTTTGTAATTTACCCTTTATTTTTATATCATTTTATGATTTATATAGAATAAAAATTAAAATAATAATAATATAATACTATAATTTAAACATTAAAAATATATCAATTTATTATTGTATAAAAGAGTAATATAATGAATTTAATAAACGAAAAATGATATAAAATATTAATATTAAACTAAAAATAGACTAAATATTTTTAAAATATAAATTAATATAACTTGGTCTAACGATTTTATTAACAATGGATGTGATTAGTATATATATGTATAGTTTGGGATGAAATCATAATGTTCAAAAAGTTTGGGGACCAATTTAGAATAAAGATCATAGTTTGGGTATGAATTTAAAATGTTTAAAAGTTTGAGGACTAATTTAAAATGATACTTATAGTTTATGGATAGAATTGAAATATTTAAAAATTTAGGGACCAAGTTAAAATGACAGTCATACTTTGAGGACATGTGAATGGCGTTGGGCTGATATTGTGAATTATCTTCCCCGATCAGCTCATTTGTACGTGGTAGCAGCGAAACCTCCTTTTCTTAATGGAGGCTCGGACTCACCTGGCTGGAGATGGGTAACAGACACCTTCACTAAGAGCGCTTACCACCGAAGAATCAATATGGAATCGATTGATGATTCTTCTATTTGGAACTTAATTTCAAGATACAAAGGACATCCTCGAGTTAAAAATATGCTTTGGCTTAGTTGTAGGGGCAGCCTTCTTTTGAATGGGGAACGTGTTAGAAGACACATATCCTCCGATTCAGGTTGTTTGATTTGCGGGGCCACCGTGGAATCATCATTGCATATTTTCTGGAAAGCCATCATAAAACCAAACCGTATTGATGAGTTCTTTCAACTGGATTTGGTGAGTTGGATTAAGTGTAACTTGTACAACCAAAGTCATTTCCCGATCAATGCTATGGATTGGGATCTTCTCTTCGGCTTAATTTTATGGAACCTTGGCTTCGACGCAATAAGGTGATTTTTGAACCTGATTTTTTTAAATGTGAAGACGTGTTGCAGAGGAGCATGCGCATGCAACAAGGAATTATTCGGGCTCGACTCTCCATTCCGCCGTTGGGAAGAAATCATAACCGAGCACTTGCATGGTCTCCTCCCCAGCAGGGGTGGCGCAAACTCAATACGGACGGAGCGAGGAATGCTAGCACGGGATTAAGTACGTGTGGTGGAGTGATTCGAGATCCAACAGGTAATTGGATTGCTGGTTTCTCCAAATCCATAGGTGTGTGTTCGACCCTTTATGCTGAATTGTGGGTATCTATGAAGGCTTGAAGCTGGCTTGGGACCTAAAGGTAAATGCAATAATTGTTGACTCAGACAGTAAGGAAGCTCTATTGGCGGTTGATTGGGGGAAGACCTCAGGTGGCAATTCTCCATTAGTGGCACATATTCGTGAGCTGGCTGCACGGTGTTGGAATATTGACATGTTTTACACCCCTCGTGACTGCAACAAGGTGGCAGATGGGTTGGCTAAATTTGCTTGGTCATTGTCTTTCGGCCTCCACTCTTTTCATTTTCCCCTTCACATGATGGGTGATTTGCTTCAGAAGGATTACCTCACTCCTTTGACTACTGTTAATTAGTTTATTAGACGTGGCTGCTTTTTTATCTATTAAATTTTATATATTGTGAGCACCATTTTCAACAAATCCGACCCGGGAACCCAAAACCCGACCCGGTTCTGTAACCGTCCTAAGCCCCAATCAACAGGCACCTTCAATCCCCCCAATCAGAGGCCACCCCTATCTGAAGCACCCCTGCACGCCAAAGCTCCACGCAATCTGCAGCAAACAAGGGAGAAGAGACAAAAAAAAAAATGATTCCAATTCTATTTAAAAACGGGTATAAGACCCGATTGAAAAATCATGTAAACGGTCGGTTAGAAAGTCATCCAAAAAAACAGTGTATTCACTCTCGGTTTTGAGAGATCCAGAAGCAATAAACAAGATTTCTTGT